GCATATGAAGAATCTAAAATGAAATGCCTTTGCTCAGACTTTAGTGTGTCTTGTTCATATGTGTCTCCTGTTTTCCCTGATCTTTTATGTTCAAGTTAAATTCATTACTAGAAAGACAGGAAAGGAAAAGTTTATAGTTGATTTTCTAAACACAGACCTTGCTCTTATCACTATTTGGTAAACTTAGGCTGTAATATGAGTGACATTTTATAATTTGGAATTTTTCACTTTAGAAAAACCACAAATCATTGCAGACCATTAAACTCAATATTTTATATTTGCATTTATTATTTAAATCAGAATTTTCAGCATTGTACCGGACAGACTAAAAATACAACTAAACAAATCTGATCTCTAAGGCTCAGAGAGAACATCTTTTAGGAAATAATTTGGGAACTACATCAGGAAGGATGAATAAATAAGTGCTGATTGACGGAAAAGGGTTTTCTAGGCAGAAGAGAAAATACTGCAAAAATGTGTAGTGGGAAATGAGAGTCCAGAAATACACATTTATGGTGAGTTGATTTTCAAAAACTTTGTGGAAAGAAGGTTTTTTTGGCCATATAATGCTGGAACTACTGGATATCCCCATGTAAAAGAACAAAGTTGGACCATAAATGAACTTGATATGAATGATGAACATAAATTTTAGTATCAAAACTGTAAAATTCTTAGAAAAAGACATAGGAGCAGATCATGCTAGTGAGTTAGGTGGATAATATCTTAGCACAGGCAACAAAGGAAAATTATACTGGATTTCATGAAAATAAGTTTTTGTGTTTCAAAGCATACCATTAAGAAAGAGGAATGACAGCCCCCAGAATGGGGAGAAATGTTTACAAATCATGCATCTGATAAGAGAATTTATATCCAGCTACTACTAGGAAAATGCATAGGTCGTATGTAGAAAGAGGTCAAAGATGTGTTTGGTATGTGAGTAAGGTTCCTGATTTGAAAAACAGAGCTCTGTTATAGAATAGTATCTGGTTCATTTCCTTTAGAACGAGAACTTGTAATTACCTTAAAATAAATAAGCCTTTCTCCCGCTTTCCCCCAACCATCCACTTCTTAGATAACAAGTATGAACTCTGTTCAACTGAGAGTTCCTTAGTCTGGGAATCCTTCACCCTGTGGCATTGTTAGCTTATGAACTGGTTGTCTTCTATTGTGATTCTAGATTTTGTCTTTAAAGTGCTGGAATTCCACTACCCCACTAAAATTTTCCAGATTTTGCTTACTTTTCAAATAAGAATTTAAAAATTGTCCCAATTGAGTCATAAACTCTTATAACATAATTTGTATATTAGTATTTCTTTTTTTTAAATTTTTATTGAGGTTATTGGTACAATCTAGGTATACAATACAATTACATTCATCATTGGGATTCTGGACCTTTACATAATAGGTCTTGATTCTCATTTTTCCCCTTGTCCCTGCCCTCCCTTCACCCCCTCCTCCCCTCCCCATTTACAAACACTTTATTTCCATTTTTTCATTTTCTTTATTTT